GGACGCAAAGGGCTTGTAAGGAGTGCTGCGGGGAGAAATGCATGTTTGGAAAATCGGAATGGCCACACTCTCCCCTACTGCAGAGATCGTGATCTAAGCATTGGTCACCATGAATTATTAGGATATATTGAATACATTATCTATTGAGGAGGACAAAATGTGGCATGCCAGTGAGTTCAAATTTCTAGATCTGCTTTTCCTGTGCGTTGGAACAAACTGACGGTGCCGATGAACTCCACAGCACGCATCCAAAAATGGAAGCATCCTAAGATGACTCATCCATAGAAAAACACACAAAACTACATGTGTTTCTAACTAAATGGGGTGTATAATTACTACTGTACCAATTTTGTAATGTTTTGCATTCATGTGAGGAGGACCACACTCCAGTACATTTTCAAATTACTGGAAATACAAAAAGGCATTGGTGTCCTTCACTTTGCGTTAATTTAATATCTAAATACTGTACGTCAAATTTCGATTTAAAGCTTTCGTGACTGCAAGGATTCATCTTCTTTGGTTCCAAAGAAGATACTGTATGTCAATTAACATTTTTTAATGTAATACCTATAAGGTTGTATACAATGTTTTAAAGTGTATTCCATCATGTAAACGTTAAGCATTTACACATAAGACTATCAAATATATGTTAGGTACGGAATACTTATAAGTACATCTACACACACACAGTGACACACTGCGCTTGCTCAAGCATCTGTGTGTATAATATGCAGTGTCCTGCACACAGCACAAAGTGCAAATGAGTATCACTATGTATAATCATATGTTCAATTCAGACTAGCCTCCTAATATTAGTAGAGATACTGGATGACGGATTAGTAGCCTCACTATGTCCCTATGGACACAAAGACATTACATCAGCATGAATAAAACCGCATCCTGTTACACATATTCCCTGAAAGTGATCACAATGCTGAAGAATTCAGAATTATGTAACTAGGTCACAGACAACGAATTTACCGGCCTCGTCTTCTCACTCTTTTTGAAGTCCTTTTCCCACTTTCTGAGAAAGTATTTACTCAGTTTCTAAACACAGAGCAAAGTAAATAAGGACAAGGCTCTTAAAAAGCAGTATTGTGGAATTCATTAAAAATGTATCATTCACACGGGCCCAGCAAAGGCACAAGGAGTTTGTGAACACACGCTAATGTGCACACTTACAGCTCAACACGACTATTACCATGCATTTACTAAAGATCAGATACAAACTCGTTTTGCATTGTTGTGGAGCATTATGGCTTAAAGATGGAGTGCTCTTGCCATTAATATCAGGTAACACAGCAGCATGTGTTTAAACAACCTTGGCCGTGCCGATGACCAAAACTGGTGCAGAGTTTCTTAATTATACAAATACCGCTGGCTCTTAATGGTATGGAAAGTCAATAGGCCAATATTATGAAAAATATGTTTAATGTGTGGAGATGCAGATGGTGCCTCGCTTACTTATGTCTCTATACATAAGAGACAGGGAAAGTCACAATCTCTGCACATTCACAACTTGGACAACTTCAACACCAATCACGCTCACAGGTCAGACAACGCCCATCTCCGTTCTTTAACTGAACTTGTGAGAACGGGACGCAGAGGTTGGCAGTAATCTCACGCAATGTTACGGCGACACTCAAAATAGGATCTCAAAGCAGCGCATTCACATGCAGCCGTGCAGCAGACGCACACACCATGTGCACAACTCCAACAATAAACACATTACGATCGCAAGCGACACAAAAGGCTTTTTTTAAGTGAAAAAAAATAATTATGATCAGTCACCAAAAGGGGATACGACGAAAAATAAACATTTTTAAACAATAAGACATGAGTGCCAGCTGTTAGTAACACGCGTTACTGTGGGGTCTTCATGCAGAACAGGGAGAGTAAACAACACCACTGCTCCAGGCACACAAGGGAACCATAACGGCCTTCTAAAGACGGACACGAATGATTATTCATTAATAGAAAACTGCAATTTGAATTTGTGCAGTCTCTTCCTTAAATTGGTATTGTTAATAAAAGCATGCTCTGCCTAAAAACTAACTCGTCTAGCCCAAGAAAGTCGGCTTGTCTTTGAGCGATTTCCAAAACGAATAATTTCCACTTGAAAGAACAAAGCATCCCACATTTGCCACTGACACATTTTTGATGATCATGTCGGAACAGACATGTGCCTGATTAGTCACGGAATGTATTGCTCTTTGTCCTGGCAAACTCCCCTGGATTCAATTACAGACATGTGAGATTTGCAGGAGAGAGAGACACGCAGGAGAAGGAACATGATTTCCTTGTGATGCTCACTGCAAGCTGATAATGGCAGAACGCATTGTGTATCGAGCACCTGTAAATCAGCTCACCTGGCACAAATGTCAGGTGTCAAGGTAAACTGTGCCGCAGACTACTGGTCTTACTGGGCACCTGTTGTAGACAACCTGACATACACGAATCGTCATGTATAGTGGTTCCAGTTGTGCCAGCCAATTGACATAAAGGCCACCTGATACAGTCGACATGATATGCATGTAGCTCGAACACAGGCAAATGGAAATACTGGCTGCACTGGCGAGCAATTAATTATGTTCGTTTCTCTACGCAAGTCTTGCCGAGCCTCAAGATTTTTTGTAGGGTCCTGCTACGTTTTTGCAGAAGGGGACGGTGTTACTCTGTGTAATCCTCGATGAATAATTTGCAAGTGACTGTTGAACATTGGAATGTTTGTCCAATACCAGTTACATTGTACATTTGTTTTTTCCTGGGTTCACTGGTATTTTTGGGTACTATTGCACACTGGTAGTTCTTCAAAACATGAGCACATAGAGATGGCTGGGTAGCCCAGGCATTATAGCAATGATCAGGTGCTGGTTGTTGTTACAAAACTAGGTGCTCAAGTGTAGCAAGTTGATGGTTTTGGCCAATCACCAATGACTACACAAATAATTGTATAAAAATTACTATTGGCATATTATGGTAAAAAATCTTAGTTTTGAGAATTGATAAATAACAATTTAGTTTGACAACCATTCGAAAAGAAACATCTCTACAACAAGGCAAGTTGAAAGGGCAGCACCCTTAGGGTGAATAGGACATCACTTGAAGGGATCTCAGAAGTAGTTCTGTAATATCACCTTCCACAAGCCATTCTTCAACGCAGAGCAACACACAGCTTGGTGTACACTCCAAAACTACACTTTGTCTCAAGGCATGATGGGACTATTGGAATAACTTTGGCAAAACAAATACAACATGTTATTCAACAAACACACGTGCACACGCAGAAAACAGCAGACGTCTCTGTTAATACCACAGCATGTTAGGGTAGAACCAAAACTCATGCTGGGACAGGCAGAACCTGGCTCCGAGCCTCAGGAGGAGTGGCGGCCGGGGAGGCGCCCAGCATGATGATTTTCTTGGGACAAACGCGAGGAGCCCGGGCATAGATGCCCTTCACATTGCAAGAGAGCGGTAAGGGAGACAAGTGTGAGTGGTGCCACGTATTGGCACGCACGCACGCACGTGAGCGCGACTCAACACCATTTGCCATCTAGGGAAAATGTCTCCGTATTCCAAATACAGTAGAACCTCGGAGATCGAACGCACCAGAACTCGAACAAATCGATGTTCGAACGATATTTCCGAACATATTTTGCCCCGGAAACCGAACGAAATTCGGAGGTCGAACGGGTAATCGCGACTTGAAAGAACCTGTACGGCTGAGACGCGTATGGCCAGCGTGCATGACGCTTGCCCGGACAAAGGTTTTACCGTTTGAGAGGCTCAGTTAACGTGTCGCTCTCACCCAGTGCAGACCCGAAAAACATCGTTCCTTAACTTTTTCGCTAATTTCCTTTATTTTAGTGTTTTTTGGTGTCTATCCATACACAATGTCTCCTCAGAAGGTTAGTGGTAGTGATAAGCCAAAAAGGAAAGTTGTGAGAACCACGATAGAATTAAGAAAAGAGATCACTGCAAAGGCAGAGAGAGGTGTCAGCGTGACCGAGATTTCCAAACAGTATGGTATGCCGAAATCGACCATCTGCACGATACTGAAAGCCATCAATTCTCCTTACTACAGGTAAAGTGAAGTTCAATGTTAATTTATTTCGTTTATTCCATATATTTATTCATTTATTCCATTTATTTAATGTGTTTCTTGTTTTTTTTGTATGATTTTATGCTTGTAATTACTGTAAACTTCGTGTAAAAATGATTTATAATGAGATATTTCTTGTGTCTGGAGCCAATTAATGTCATTTACATTAATTCTTATGGGGAAAATTAATTAGGTGTTCAAACAAATCGGTGTTTGAATGGCCTTCTGGAACGAATTAATTTCGATCTCCGGGGTACCACTGTACACAGCTCCAGAACCACGTGAACAATAACACGGTTCTAGTGGAGCAGACCCAGAGCTTTTGCTCATAACACTTCTCAACACACATTAATTGCTAAACAACATGACATTGACATTACACAGCACCATAAAACTGAATGTTTTTATTTTGTTCTGTTAAAACATTCTTGGCAAAACTGTTTTATTTCCGAGCAAACTTGTATAACTCTGCTGACTGAATCCAGCGCCAAGATTGTGAAACTCCTGCAAATCGTATCATGACTAACAAAAAAACACTACTTTTCTAATTCTGAACGATAAACAAATCCCAGTGTTCTGTTTGAGCAAACACACATTTTGTTGGCACGGTTTTTTTTCATGTAATAAACTACAAATGTATTTATTAAATGTGGACATTGACAATGAGCATGCATCTGGTCAGGCGGTGGATGGGAAAAGATGGGGGGTGACTTCATGAGCATTCAACATTACAGCAAAGGCCTCCTCACTAATGACAAGATTGGAAAGGCACAAGAGAAGTGTAAGGGAAAGAGAAACAAAGTCACTAACAAGACTGCCAAGGGGGCCATTAATGGATAATGAGTTCATGAATGAACCAATTATTTTATTTCAGGCCGTTTGTTCAAAATCACCTTACCTGATGGCACACAGGCAGAGAGTTTGCCCGAGATAGCTCCTTGGGCCGAGTGGAAGGAGGCTGAGCTACGCGCTCCATGTAGGGCAGCATTATGCTCTAGTCCAGAGACCAGCAGAGGAAGGGAGGACGAGCCGGGGAGATTAAAGCGCAGAGTAGCAGCAGAGAAGCACGTCCTTCCAAGAGGAACACATTCAGGGCAACAGAACCGTAAAGAGCACGAGCAAACGACAGAGCAATGCGGCAGGGACATGGGACGTCAAACAAAAACATCGCTCCGATACAACTGAAAAGCAACGCACGTTCCTCCCAGTTGCTGTAGATCATCTTTCAGCCAAGCGGTCACTGAGATTATGTCAATGGTGCATGCTTATCAAGCGCAGGCTCAGGGCATGCAGCACTTGCTTAGAGCTATGTTATTGGCTGCCATTTACTTAATCTGCCAAGCCTCACAGTGCTGTGACAACCCAGGGTGGATTTCAGGAAAAAGGGGCCCAACAAGTGTGTGTGAATATGTAGATTTAAATGCGTTGTCGGTCTATCAAAACAATTGTGGATTTTTTTCCCCCCGCACAAATGCCTCAAGTAAACAAATACAGAATTTTGATTTAAAGCTTTCGTGACTGCAGGAATTCATATTCTTGGTTCTTTTGGTAAAGTCACGTAGAAGGGAAACAATAAAATAATAAAAATATAAAACAATAAAATTCTCACGACGTTTCGACTGCAACACAAGAAATCATCATCAGGTGTGTTGCAGTTGTTTTATTGCTTCCCTTCTACGTGACTTTACCGAAAGAACCAAAAATATAAATACAGAATTATTAAAATCAGCCACCTTCTTATCAACATCTGAATGTCGCCATCTGAATGTTGCCATCTTACTGTGGCCATCAATTAGATAAGCCACAACTTAGTGGCAGAACAGCGATCCATCAAAAATACCAAAGCCATTCCATGCTTTAAAGTGGAACATCGAAAACAATTCACTGACGTATGAATGCGAGACATGGAGAGACAACAACATGTGACCTGGGGGGGGGGGGGGTGGGGGGGTGTTGTAGAAATGAACATGCCAAAGCTATGCTCACAGGTGGGGGCACATTGGCCTTGCGCAAAATCACATCCAAGATAGAATCTAGCGCACCTCCAAGGTCCTCTCTTGTGCACGTGACCGACTCGTTCCATGTCTCACCCACCTGTCGCTTGAGGTTTGACTGCAGTGGAGCATTCTCCTCAAACTTGGCCAGGAGCTGGTTGGCCATGGACTTGACTTTGTTCTGATTTCCGGACACCGCGTCGGCACGTCTCTCTCCGTTGCCAATCCCCCACCGGTCCTCCCGCCTGGCCTGCATCTCCTCCTGTGAGAGTTCCCGCCAACCACAAGGAATCACGCACTTGGCAAGCGCCGATCAAACAGAACGAGCGACTCCACCCTGCCTGCTAGTGTGCTAGATTGCATTCGGTACTCCTGTGCCAGCTGAGATTGGTTCAAAGCTCCACAGCTGCTATCAACAGTTTTTTGCACTCGTGACCGATTGTTTTTCAGTGTTTTCATGTAGTTGTTCCTGTCTGTGCTGCCCGTGCTGCCTGGAACTTCCTTCCCCTGGGCCTCTGCACTGCCAATGCCCTCTCCCCTCTTAAGTGCAAACGCCAGACATACCTTTATTCCTCAACCTTTGACTAAACCTAACATCACACAGACATTCCCCTCCCATGTCCTCGCGCATGTTCTCATACTTTGAAGATTGTTAATTCAAATACTTCTTAGATGTATTTAATGACGTAAAGACATTCAGACTATTCATTCTGGCTTTCAAAACCAGGCACACAATGGAAATTAATCCAACCAAAATGGTCATGATTCAATGTCGACATATATCCAACATCTTGTAAGCCACCTCTCTCTTATAAACATCCATCGCGATAACTGTTCAACCAAAGGGCAATACATTTTTCCACCATCCTTGACACACCTCATCGGACGCCTTTTGTCCCGTTCTGCGTCGTTTGCCGAGCCCATCAACCTCCTTCTCCTTCTTGTCCTGTGAAACACGTCACAAGCGATGTTTGCGATGCAGGTTAATTTCTGACCTCTTGAGTAAACGCAAGCTCAGTGGTTAACAGAAGTGCCTGCGATAATTTATCTTTACGAATCTCACACATGCCAGGCAAGCAATTTGGTCCAAATTTATTCCAGAAAATGTACTTCCATGAACTTTGGACGTGCTCATGACTTTACCTTTCAATGTCAAACAAAATCAGTTTTTTTATCTGCACAAGCAGTGTGTTAACTTTTAAAAAATGTGAGCCAAATGGCCACTTTCAATACTTTTTCCCTATATACACATATTCTGTTTTGTTTTTCAGTTGCGTCCCTTTTGTCCCAACATTAGAATTTATACAAAAACTACAACATAATAGATATCGGTCAAATTACATACATAATCCTACCTGCCACCTACTGTAAACCCTCGTTAACCGCTATTAATTGCCTTGTGCCACTGCACTTCCTCCGACAAAGCCGTCTGTAATTTTCCTTCTGGGCCATCCGAATGAAAGCCACCACTACTCCCCCTTTAATGTGCTGGCAGAGCACACAACTTTCACGGGCAGCCTTCACTCGCTCTCATTACCCGGATTCTTTAACAGGTGCTCTCAGATCCCTGGGCGTGCCTGAGCAGGATCTCTCTCTCACACGCCAGCGGGGGGGGGGGGGGGGGGGGGGGGGGGGGGGGGCACGGGGGTACACAGGAGAGGGGGGCCGGCGAGTTACCCGTGGTGTGCGCTTGCGGGAGATTGTCTGGCCCAGCTTGCTCAGGAAGGAGATGGGAGACTTGGTGGAGAGCAGCGCCGCCGACCTGTCATCCTCACCCATGAGCTTGTTGTACTCTGGATGTGATGCGGGAGTGAGGGGGTCACATCGTAAGAATGTCACAACCACGTGTCGATCAGGGTCGTCTTCGTTTAATCGTTACTAAGCTGGCGCTGGGGCTTACATCATTCTCGCTCTGCCGTTAAAGAGCAATCTTCCATCACGATTTTGGACGTGCACCACTCGTTTAGTTTTCGTTCAAGCCTTAAAACGTACATTTTTGCGAGGACATCTGGATGCGAGCCCTGTTTAAAGAAAGCGTGCGTGCTTGGCAGTGGTTGACTGGTGCCTGGGTATATTGGTATGGCTAGCTGAGTATAGTTTGCAATATTAGTGAAGGATATTAGAACAGTAATATGCCTTGGAGCAGAGTGGTATGAATGTGATTTAATTGCGCTACTAATTTTTACTACTTCACCAAAACCACGTTATTCTAATGGGATGAAAATTGTTTAAAACCAGCCATCGGCAACATTCTGACCTCAGTGACAATGTGTAAGAGAATTTTTCAGACAATGACCCAACTTCAGAGGAACTGGAAGAGGATAATAACTCCCAATATGTAGTTGGAGACAGCATGTGGCTATGTGGTGCCATAAAAAGAATGTCAAATTAGAGAATCAGTTGATATGTAAATAGGCCTGCATGAGCAAAAATTAGGTAACAAACAGGCCCCAATCACATTTGCTGTATGCGCTTTTAAACCACATCCAACAGTATGCCATATATTATTTACTATTCTAGCACAATATTAACACTTTCAATTATATTTCACTACCACTTACCAATGAACCTGAAGGATCTTTGGCTCCTTGTTAACTAAACAATTAAAGATGACCCACAGTGCAGAGACTGCCGCTTCCAAAACCAAACAACGGACCATACCGCAAACAATTGCGTTCTACGGCCGCTCTTCGGCGGACTGGACAGCGTTAGTCACGCTACTCCCGAAACCATCACATGGCTCACAAACTTAAACCTGGACGTATAATGTACACTGGCCATATGCTCAAAGAAGAATTTAAAAAAAGTGCATTCACATACACACACAGATGCTGCTGTAGGGACACTTAAGAGGGAGAGCGCCATTCCATACTGAGACAGGGATGCGTTGGAAAAATAAATGTAAGTGGACTGTACCACGCACCAGCGGGCGGTAGCGTGTCACGGAACATCTCGTAGAACTGTGAGAGGTACATGACCATGCTGAGCTTGTCAGGGTCGGCCACACCCGCCACCTCCTGCCCCGTGATGATGGGGGAGATGCCGAACTCACGCTCCGCCACGTCGAAAGCCAGCTGGTTGTTCCCAGCGACGTTGCGCTCATCCAGGGAGTCAAAGTCACTGCGGACGAACAGAGCACGCGATTGCCTTCACACGCCCACTTCCACGGTTTGTGCCAAGGGTTTTTCTTAAGTAATCTTTTTTTTCCCCTCAAAGTCACTCCGAAGGATGAAGAAATACAACGCCCATTACATCCCGTTTCCCGATTCGTGGATGATATTTGTTTGTTCTATCTTTTTCCCCAAACTTTACTTCGACTGTGTTCTCAAATTCGTGCCGTGAGTTAATGTATCCATTTGGAATGCTCGTGAGCAGTGCACCAACCTGTGTGTTAGAGAATGGCTCGTGGAATCAGAAATCACGAAACTGCTGCCAAGATGTCTTCATGTTACTTTGGGTTAAGTTACTTTTTATCAATTTATTTGTTATCGAAATGGAAACCCTAAGTGTAACACAATATGTTTTTATGTAATCATTAGAGGACTGAGACCAACAAACTCAATATACATGATAAACTGACTTTCATCAAGGCGTAGCTGACAGAATTGGAACCCTCCATTTCACAGGATGTGGCTCAGTGCTCAGAGCCCTAAACCAACCAACCACCTCTGGACAGTGTTTTAAAATATATATATCGATTTCATATTCCTCATCTTCATAATCCTCATCTTACTATCGTATTTAATAGTCACATCTGCTGTATAAAACTATCAGTACACAACATCCCCAATGCTGAGGTGAGAGCATTCTGGGTAACAAATAACAAAGAACTAACTTTCCGTATCCATCATTTTGAGACACTTCCATTCATGAGTTTTGGGTATGTGGGAGGGAAATGGGAGCACTCGAACAAAACCCACCACCCATGCGAGAGAGATAATGCTTAGCAATACCATCTCCCTACTGTCCCACAGCTCAACCCTACAACACCTAGCAAGCCCTGGTGGCCACCCACCCAAGCAAACACCGACCCAGTTTCTGAAATCCATTAAATAAAATTATCACTGTAATGACCACACAAGCTAATTATATACATAGATAACATGCATATGGAAATACGATAAAAATTGACCGATGTTCATCGGTGCAGTGCCCGGGTGAGGCCTCACATGAGGTCGGGCCGGTAGCGGTGGATGATGGCGCAGAGGGCCAGGCCGCTCTTCCACGAGCCGGTGAAGTCGACGACGCGCACCCCGCGGTAGCCCTCGGTCTGCCGCTGGCACCAGCTGAGCAGCTTGCTGGAGCGCATGATCGAGTCTGCGGGGAACAATCAATGCGGACCGACGGGCCACACAGTCACCCTTGGTCTTGTTGACTAAAGCAGTCATCGATCGAGTCAAATGCTCTTAGTTATTAAATTGTGATGTGACGGACGTGATTCCAACCCCCGAATATTATCAGGTCAGCCAATCAGAGCACTGATGATAGGGTTTTCCCCTTTTTTCTGGCAACAAAACAGGTGTTAAGATGTTAAAATACCAAACTGAAACCTTTCACAAGGAATCATGTCTGCATTAACCACAAAGCTTATAATCGGAATGCAAAAAAAACACTGATAATATATGCATTGTCCTTGAAACTGATTGGTCCACACCAGAGACAGCTTTCTTTTGAGCCTCGTCTCAAACGGTGTTGGACCAGAAGGCGTCCTTATCGTAGTGCCTTAGTTTAGCTATTCTATTGTGTCTTAGCAGCTGAAGCTTGACATTAATTAAATATTTCACTCGGAGATACAGCCACCTCCATGAGTCAGATTGCTAACTTAGCAACCAGTGCAGAGGCACTTCTACAGAGTTTGAAGTTGTATTGATTTTCTTTGACACAACATTCGAAGAAATATAATGCTTGCTTCAAAAATTAAGCTCAGAGCATATCTTTCAATCGATAGATTTCCCTTGGCAGGGGAAATACATACATCGAGCACCACACTTAGGGTGGTATTGATGGAAACACTTTATTTTTCAAACGGGAACGACCGAATATTCCGTCACGTACTACCAGCTCATGCGATGTGGAACGCAAGCAAAGCTCGTTCACTCTAAATGAGCGTTCGACAAAACTCTTGCTTGACGATGGAGAACAGCAGCATCCTAAGGGAACTGTTTTCTTGCTCGATCGCCCGATCGCTCGCTCACCATGCCTCGTGAGCCGAGAATCGGCCCCCAGCGCACTTTCCACGTCCATAGCGGTCTCCCGCGCCTCGCCCGTGTCGTACAGGTGCCGCACCTGGGGAAGGAAGGCACCGGTCTCTTAACACAAACCCTCACTTCTGTTTCACTCAGTGTGGCCTTTCAAAGCAAAACTTCCTGCACAGAACGGTAATCCCCGCAGATTATATTCTGACAACTGGAATGCGATTTAAAGCACTTTTTTTTTTACTAAAACACAATCCCATCACACTTGAGGTTTATTCCCTTCAACAAGGATGCATTAACAAGCATCAATACCCAATACAAACAAAAGCAATTCACGACTGGATGAAGGTTTCCTCGCACCATGCGGGTAGTAGGGATACTTTGACCATACTTCACCACTCTGGTTAATGTAGGTTGGTGAAGGTGAGAAGTATAAAAGTAGGAGCATATAAGCAAAGAACAAAAATTGATTGGCTATTTTGTCCTCTTCTGTCAAGAGAACAATGCAGCCCCACAACAACCTATAATGCCTGTTATGCACGGTGACAGCCCATCCACGATCTATCTAGCCTCAACCGTTCTTACCATCTGATACCTGAAAAGAATGGGGTGCATTCCAGGTGATTTGGTTAGAGGTATGATATATGATGCAGTAATAGACGGGGCTTACATACAATATAGATACAATATGCACCTCAAGATACTGTACAAAACAAAGACGTGTAAAGTGTGAACGAGAACATACAAAGTCGACAGTGTATACACATTGAGCGCCACACACCTTGGGAGGTATTGATGAAGACACTTTTGGCTTTGAAATAGTAAGGGCTTAATAATCCGACACGTGGCTTGTATTGGGCTCATAACAATTGTCCACGCTGGCCACGTCACGTGCCACCAGCTCATGGGATGTAGAACAAAAGCAAAGCTCGTTCATTCTAAATGAGCATTCCACACTGCGCATGGGCTATGAGGATCACCAATGTTGCATTGCACTTCACGGATTTTGAATTCGAAATTCGGACCTGTTTAAACAAGTCTTTATCACGCCAACTGTACGTATATTCAATGCGCCGTGTGCAAAAATAAATGTGTGTTAACATGCATTTCCCACGCGACTCGTCGTGCGTAACGCTTAACAGAGGAAAACACATTCAGTAGACTGGTTTCACATACAGTGTTCTATATTTAATGTTTAAAGCGCTGCACATGTTAAGCAGAAAATTGCTATGCGTTTACCTGGCTGGCTCGCAGGAAGTTCAGGTTGACGTTGGGGTAGCGCGTGGTGGGATCGATGCTGTACTGGCTGAAGTTCTTGTTTATGTTCTCAGGCGTTGTTTGAGGCAAGAGGCGATAAATGCTTTCTCTGCACAGGGATAAACAAAGCCACCTTTTAATAACAATAACAGTAACATTTACAACGTGTAGGCACGGCACATCCAATCGTTACAAATGGGGAGAAAACATAAAAACGTGCGCGAGCACAGAGTTCGAGGCATCGTCATACCTTTCAGCTAAAACCTCCAGTGGTGGGGTGCCCTGGGCCCAACTTCGGATCATCCAGGCGGAATCGAATGCAGCAAGAAACCCTCGGGCACAGCCGGTGCCCATCGGCCAGAAAGGCTGGCAGCGCAACCACACAGGAGGGGCACGGTTGAATCACAGCCATGCAACGCGATCGTCGGATATAGAGCAAGCACAGCGGTGAAATCCACGCTAAATGCAGCAAACTCATGAAGAATTTGTATAGCACAACCACTCTGTGGGAGGTTGCTCATTCGACTTCGGTGCCCTCATTCTGGAACTCCCTTCCTCCACAGTCATCCATCAACTACCTGCCCTTGTTCAAGTCCAGGCTCAAAACCCCTCCCTTTTCCCTCTACCTATGATTGACTGCCTCCGGTCTCTCTGTAACATAAATTAGCCCACTATGTTTGTTTAGCAATCTGAAATGTGGTCGCATTTAGCCGCCATATAAATACATTGTACTGCACTGCAATTAAACGTGTGGGGCGGCGCTCAACTCGTTTACAATCTTCATCAGGTGGTGGAAATTCCTATGACAGCAGTGATTCCATTCAAATATTTGGACAACCACTTTTGATTTCCCACAAAGTAATTATTCACGTAGTAAGCTCAGCCAACTCAACATGGCTACTCAAATAAAACACAATGTCACTTAATTCAGCTTATTCCTGCAATGTGTAAAAAAATTAAATCTGTTGCACGCGATGTTCCCTTGTTGTGAATAACGGGGCTTATCCAAGCGGGTTTATAAATAACCTCGTAACAACATCATCATAATCATGATCTTCTCACGGAGGAACCGTTGTGCCACAAAGCGCCATGTGCCGGCTAGCCGAGCGTCTCACCTCCAGCAGGCTGTCACCGACGAGGGCGACGAGCAGCCGGTGGCCGTGACGCTCGCGCACGAGGGCCGCGTTCTCCGACGCGTACATGCACGTGAAGTCGAACATGGCGACATCGGGCTGCCCGTAGTGGTTGATGGCAAAGTCGAGCGAGGGCAGCTGGTGGTTGGTGGAGAAGTCGGCGGCGCCGCGCGCGTACTCCTGCAGCGCCTCCTGGTCGACGTTCTCCCGGGACAGCAGCATCTCCGTGTCGGGGTAGTCCTGCAGCGGACGCCGACACACACACAGAGGGCACGCGTCAGGGGACTCGGGCGGCTCCTCTTCTGTTGGACGTCTGCCCTCACGCTTGGGATTTTTTATTTATTTTTACACAAGATCTGATTCATGCCCAAGGCCAAATCTCCCTTATCCAGGAGGCTCTGCGCCCAGTTCCATCGGATCTCGCAAGCTAAGCAGTGTTGAGCCTGGATAGCGCTTGGATGGCTACATTGTGGATAGGAGAGTGCATCAAAATTAATTTGTTGTACTGTACTTCTATGCTCCTATGTATACATTCCTGATCTGCACAAATCTACACAAACCAGAGTGGTGAATGATAAGTCAAATAAAAAATCCACACAGCCTTGGGAGGTTTTCATCCAACAGTGGATCGATCGATGCTAACGCATGTATTTATCTGCGGGTGAGTGTGTGGATATCTGCAATAATTTTAGCCGATAGCCAAGGATGATAGAATCTGCCAACAGTGCCCTATACATGAGAGAATTAACTGTGAACAGAATCAGAATCTTTAATTACACTGCAGGAATCCGATGAGCTATTTGCTCTTTTTCACGGATGTCCAGTATGGGCGGGTCAGCAAGTAAGTGATATTAGCTGCTGGCTTATACTGTTTTGGGCTTCGGAGTGCTCGACATAAATCACATACATTTTCTAAAACAACAGTCTTGTCCACCACACCTTTCGCCAATATGCCTGGGTTAGAGAAAGCCTCAAGCACAGCAAAGCAAGATGCATCTCAGCCAGCAGGGAGCTTTGGGGCTTTGTCTTTCCACGCAGAAGGCATGGGCCGCAGTCCTTTGGAGGTGCTGCGGTGGCGAGATATAAACTACCCCACTTGATATACAAGAGGTCGTGGGTTCGAGCCCGAACCTGACGCCTGCTGTATATTTGGAGTTTGCCTCTTCTCTCTCCCCATGGTCGCGTGGATTTTTCTCCAGGCCCTGCAGTTTTTCCCTACACATTTAGAATAAACATGCCTTTAGAGTATTTGGCTGCTATACATTTCCACATAAGCCACTTCATTGAGCTATCACTTGTGGCTAGATCGCTTCTGAAAAAGAGCTATATAGCTCAGTGGGCCGTACCTGGTAAAATAAAAAGCTTTAAAATAGTTTAGTTTAGGAGACGATGTCCTGCAACCAAGAATCGTGCCATCGCAGAGGGCCCTACATTCCACAGTGGAGCACAAGACATCAGGCAGCCTTTGATATGTTTTAAATTGATTACAAGTGCCGACTGTATTAAAACTCTGTTGCAATTCCATTACTAATGGAGTCGGAACAAAACATAACGATAATGGAACCCCTTGTACAAGGAGAGCCTCACACTATGGCAAGGAATGGCCTCTGATGATAACTTAACAGACCCGCTTCTGGAATCTTTCAAGAGGGAGAGGAGACCCCACCTGTAAGATGACTCCCTTCTCCAGGAGGCTCTGCTTCTTGGCCGTCATGACAAAGTAGTGCGTGTCATCCTTATAGTACACAATGTTCTCCAAGTCAATACCTGGAAGGACAAGATCACGCAAATACAAATAAAGAGATGTCAGACAAAGTTAAAAGTCCAGAGTTGAAAAATGATGTATTTTTAGTTTTTCAGTATTACGAATACTACTGAAATCTGTGACATTGCAAGACAGTGAAAGATGGTGATGACTTGGGGAGGCCTTCATCCAGCAATGGAGAAATCTTGTTTCATGATGTTTGAAAGTTTTAGTAGACACAGCTTTGAGGACAACCGTCTTTATCTTTCGATGGAAAAAAAGAAGACATGCAAGGAAGCTGAGCATCTGAGAGGACTCATGTGGCATGAAAAGTGGGAGACGAGCCATCCTGTTTAGAGTTGCATCCCCCCCCCAGAGTGCCCAGCACATCTGACAGGCAGCGCAACTTGTTTTATTTGAAACAACCTCGTTGATGTCATGTTTACTCGACACGCCTTCAAACACGCCGTCGCTGCAATGCCACAACTGCAATGTCACACGCGAGCCAAGTTCCTCTGCACACACCCGGGAGCCACACCCGACTACCGCGCGATGGTGCACTCCTAAAAAAATACAACATCTAGTCAATTAGCTAGCCAACTCCCTCAACTGTGCGCACGGGCACAGCGTGAGCTCGTGCCCGAGAGATGTCGAGTCAATTTGTGCAACGACCACCGCTGACTCTGCGGGGCCAAAAGTAGACAGGCGCGACCCCACGTGTCCTCGTTCCACGCCGTGGCAAGCCAAGAGCTGCAAGCACGACTCACCGCCTCCCCCGTACTACCTCCTGGGGGCAGCCTGGACCAACGCAGTCGCCCTTAAATCCACATGTTCGCCAGCCGGTTTGTGTTGAGGTTCCATTACGCGAAAATGTATTGTGTGGCAGTTGTGTTGCGCCATACCAAGGCGCTGTAGGTCGCTTTACCTGACACCATGCTCACGGGCCGACAGGGGGTTGCCGAGAGAGAGAACGAGGTGTGCAGGGGTTGACCGAAGGTAACCCCCCCCCCCCCTGGGTGGCCCGTGACTAGAGGATGAGACCCCAGACCCCCAAGGGCTGGGGGCTGGGGGGGATAGGGGCCACCGGCCGATTTTAAGACCCTTTAAGATTTAAGACCCTTTAAGACCTTTCCAGAACCTCCCAGACATTTCTGGAAGGTTCTGGAGAAGGTGTGAGAAGGGGAGGGGGTAAGCCCGACCTGGGGATAAAAGCCGGCCCTCTGAACGGGTCCGGCAGTGTTCGCCAACTCAAGCCTGAAGACGTCCCGGACTGGTGGTGGGACCAGCACCCTGGGACCCTCAACCGAGGCTCTTGTCAGGTTGTAGCGGACCGGTGGTGGGACCAGCACCCTGGGACCCTCAACCGAGGCTCTTGTCAGAGCCGGGTTGTAGCGGTACGGTGGTGTGACCCGTACCCTGGCTGGGTCGGGTCGGTCTAGCAAGGGACCTGTGTGGAGCGTAGCCCGGGATGTGTAGGACACACTAGAAGGGAGGCTGTACCACCCTTAGGCAATCGGGTTGAAGGGGCCGTACCCCTTCGTGTTACAGTTGGTGTTCGCCGAGAATGTTGTAATAAAGGCATTGCCTCCAGACGACGTCTCCGTGGAGTTAGTTATACATGCAACAGTTGCATTATTTATTAAATAAATAATGCCGGCCGGTGTGGGCATATAAATAAGGCAAGGGAAATAGAAATGAAGAATTGCCCAAGCAAGTAAGCAGCATCACCATAAAAATGCTGACCTCAGCAAACTTAAATAATGGTCAGCAGTAAAATCAGAATACATCATAAATAAACAGTTGCATGATTAATGAAAACAATAATGCCAGCCGGTGTGGGCATATAAATAAGGCAAGGGGAATAGAAATGAAGAATTGCCCAAGCAAGTAAGCAGCCTCACCATAAAAATGCTGACCTCAGCAACCTTAAATAATGGTCAGCAGTAAAATCAGAATACATCATAAATAAATGTTGATATCTACCCAGCTATGGCTGCTGCCCATAAATACTCTGGCTTTAATGAAAACAAATGTTATTGGTCTGGGACAAATGAGATCATCTATGCCAAGCTGCATGATGAATCTACTGTACCGGTTTCAAGTGGTGAAAATGAACACAGCACAGGAGCATACCTCCCATATCTTGTTTACAGGAATACAATATATAGCATCTGGATCAAAACAAGTTCTCTCATTTTGATTTAAAGCTTTCGTGACTACAGAGATTCATATTCTTGGTTCTTTCGGTAAAGTCACGTAGAAGGGAAACAACAGAATATGTTCTCTGATATTTCAATCAAGGCAAGGAATATTGTTCTTTTTCATTACCACATTTTTTCGTCCACCAAAAAAGCTTTATTATCTCGGGCATTTGTCTATTAATATTAAAACATCCCCGTCCCTGTATTAATATAAAAACTAGATTAGAAGCTTTCGTGACTGCAGGAATTTATCTTTGGTTCTTTCGGTAAAGTCACGTAGAAAATAAAATAACATAATAATAGAATACGACGTTTCGATTGCAACAAGCAAACATCATCAGGTAAGAATGAATTATAATACAGACAGGGAAACAACATGGGCAGACACACACAAAGACACACCGAGCGAGACACACACCAAGACAAACAGAAGGACAACGACTCTGTGCCGAGGCCTTAAATAGAGAGAGGGGGGAGGGGGCTGGGCCAGCGGATAAACGAGGGGACAAGGAGGGAGCAGTGTGGAATTCCGGACCACAGTGGCCGGAGGAGAGACAATGGTTTAGAGCAAGAAATTGAAAGCTTGAGAAAGCAAATTTAGTAAAATTAAGAAGTGTAATGCAATGCAACACAGAGGGTCGGTTAACACACAGTTAACGCATAGCCTGGTTGATTAACGTTCTTCCAAAAATTGCAAAATTTCTCCTTGCTTGTCTCGTTCCACACATTTTTACAAACTATTTAAAGATTATAATTAAAGATTATGCCGGTTTTATGAAAGAACACAGTTAATTAAAACCTCTAATTCCAATACATAATTAATAAATAATATACACCCCCATTTTGCAAAAAACTGAGCTATGTATTCTAACAACGATATTTTATTACACAATGCATCTCATAAAATTACAATGTCATTACCTTTACAGGCCAAATCCTCAAATCCCTTTCCATGTACACTTCCAGATCAGTGATATTGGCCAGGTATTCCGACGCACATTCGCGAGCCAGGGAGCCAAAATAAAACACAAGATGCAGGCCAAGCTGCAACGAGAGCCTGCCGTGTGAAACCTCACCACTAGGTGAGAAACCTCACCACTAGGCGAGGTTTCACAAACCATCATGCGAATTCCGGTTATCCTTGCAGTGGATTTTGGCTCAAAATCGAACAAAGACGGTGACTCCATCGCGCGCTTTCAGATGCGCTTCTGCAGCCGTCTAGAATGCTCTTACTTCCGATATTACGAAGCCACTGGAGCTATGCACTTTTAAATCTAGGTTGAAAACCAATTTCTTGAGAAATGACCCTTGGTATTTTGTTAGTTGTCCTTCCCCCAAACCTATTAGCACGGTTGGCTACATTACAGTGCAAAATAAGTTCAACGTACATACATACAGATGAACACAAATCAATCAGCAGGCCCGCTCGGGGAGTTCCATTCCACGCCGGTCTGCTGGCGCTAGACTCCATGGGACACACGTACCCTTGGAGGCCCTGAGGTCAGTGAAGAACTTCGGTTTGAAGATGAAGGCGACGCCGCTGAGCTCCTCTACCTTCGCCTCGGCTGTCGTGTTGCGGTTGATGAAGTTTGCCGTGATGGCGATTGCCAGCTTCCCCCGGAACTCCTTCCTCCGGAAGCCTGCGCCGAAACAGAGCGTCACGTCAAGGGAAGGACAGGGCACAGTCTGAGGCATCGACAACTGAGGTGAACCTGCAAAACGCATTGGATTCCGAAACTTAGCATGGACGGTCATTGCAAAATCAAAGGGCGACCGCAGAATCAAAGGATGCCAGGTGTGTGCATGTTTGTGCACAAAATGATGGAAGAGCAGCTGCTGCAAGACCAAAATGCCTGGATGCCCTTCCATTGCTATACACAATAAAGGAAATTGTTATCTATGCTTTATTAGAGCATCACCTAAGTGAGCTCAACCTAAAAATGTCTGCCAGATGATGTATTGTAAATGCCAGCTCTGGATAGACAAGAGTGGCCAAGTGCGTCGAATGCCAACCTTATCATTACCAGCCATAGTCGGCTCTTACAAAACTGGTCTCACAAGTAGAATTGTAACATTTTAGTGTTCCCACCTTGCAACGTATTGCGATGTCCGTCAGCCCCAATGATGACGTCAAACTCGTACTCAGCGACGGGATGTGTGTTGGGAACGACCTCTGCCCTCCATCCGATCCCTGCAAGGCAGTTGGCAGGGGGCGGTATTAGGTGAGGTGCAGCAAAAGGATCCGTAACGTGTGTGCGCCAGCTAAGCATCCACATCAAGAGTAAACGTTTCTGGAAGCAAAGCCAACCAGGTGTGATGCAATTCCATTACTCACTCGTGCACCGAAAAATAAATACAGATTTTCTCAATACACCAATGGTTGAAAGCCTCCCCACGCTATGCACCAAGCTGGTCAGTGCGGCTTGGTCAAGGGAGGGAGGGGGGGTGTGGTGTTGCGTGGCAGGGCAGGGCTGGACTGGTGTTGATATCACTTGCTACCGATGTCAGCTGGGCATGAATCAGAATCACTCTTTATTTAGACTGGAGGAATCCGATGAGCTGTTCCAGCTCTTTTAAAAAAGATTTCCAGTAGGGGGAAGATCAAAGTTACAACAACAAACAATACAAAAACACTATAGGATTGCAAAGTATTGGAAAGGTAAGCAAATCACAAATAAACCCAATTTTTATTTTACCAGATAAAGAAGACCCACGAAGCTATTAGCTTCTTCTTCAAGACACTAACCACTGGAATACTGCTCCATGGCCTCATTCACCAGAGTTGAAAAAAAAAGATTCTGGCGAATAGGAATTGTCAAAAATCTGTCCGAATCGGGCTAAGCTGGCTGATGTGTGTGTGTGAACGGTTGGTAAAGGCAGGCGTACGATCATTCTCCTGGTCCTCAGGTGGCTCCATAATGCCCTTGAACTCCACATTGACGTGAATTTCCACACCCAGGAGGAGGGAAACTTTCAGCAGGATGAGCTGCAGCTGGCGAATGCCTGAGCAGCACAACAAGACAAGCAACATGCACGCAGCACGATACGGTCAACACGAGTTACAGAAACACACAAAACCTTCCGAGGACCTTTTAACACATCTCACAGAAAAATAGTTGATTATGATTGTTATTTATTTCAAATTTTAGGTGTTATTTCAGCTTAGTTAGTTTAAGTTTTGTTGTTGTTTAGATTTGTGTTATTTATGCATTTGTTTCACCTGTATGTATTTAATATCAAGCATACAATTGATGCCAGGACCACCTTTGTGAATGAGACTGTATCTCATGCTGTCTTCAGGTGGTTGTGTTCCATCTCCTGATAAGATAACAATTTACTAGTACTACCACTTTTCTATGTGTACCATGTATCGCATTCTGAAGGTGGTTTATGTCTAATCAATTTTGTTGCACATTACTGAGACGACACGAGATCATTAATGTTTGGCACCACCCTAAACCACGAAGAGTGAGTCTTGTTATAATGCGGAACAAGAGTAGGTAGTGCGATCAGTGTCAGGGAAACTTGTTGATCAACACTCCCATTTTTACTTTTACTTTGGTCAGCTGTTCCCAAGCTGGATAACATTCATGATAAGCTGATCTTGGTGCCAAGCGAAAGTGTGAATAAGAACGGAAGATGTAACAAGATCAGCCGATGCCAAATTGACCATAATTCGTTGATGCATTCGCGAGGGATTAATCAACCTTCACAATCATATTTGTGTGCAAACAGGGCCCTGTTTTGCAATTCATGACACCGCAAGCAACTACATCGCCATTTCGACAAAGTATTCCCAATCACAACCCCAAGTATGTATCTGACACATACTTACACTTCAGTATAAAGGTCATTTGGTTTAACCACCCACGCATTATGCCCTAAGAGTCAAAATTTCACAATGAAGTAACTATGACATCACCACTAGCTTGGTTGCAATAAATGCCACATGGACACAGAGTCCAAGTGACCAAGTGTGCAATACAAATGAAAATAAACCGATGACTAAACATAGCCATGAAGCACATTTGCTAGGTCCGGCCAATGGCCTGTTACAATAGTACACGAAATGTTCTGCAAGTTATCATCAGTAATCAAATTCGTGCATTCTAGGCATTGGGTGGCCCTATTCATCGATCCTTTTATTTCTTCAAGAGGTGGCATGAGCAGGCTCAAAATAAAACGTAGTCGTGGTAGGCCTCCTGCGTCGAATGAAGTCACGTTGACGGTTATGCAGATAATGCTCATGAATTCACAATAAACTTTCATCATCAGTGCAATAACTGGGCTTTGTGAGAGAAGCTGCTGTCTCTGCCACAGGTCCACGGGGTCTTGTGCCGTGCCCTGCCCTTTGCCTCACGATCTCTGCCCTCTCGGAAATGGATTTGCCCTTGTCAGTTTGCAAGCATTCATGTGTCAGACGACCAGTGTCCTTTATTTGGAGAATATTATCCGAACCGTGGTTACTTCTATACATCAATGACCATATTTAGCAAGCCTTTGCGAAAACACATGGCAATTACAGAAGTAAATAATGCCAATACCAATTGTGTAAGGTTGCACAAATTAAGTTATTATAATTTAATTATTATGCTCACGATACATGCAGCAAATAGAGTGTGGAAGGATGTTGTATTTTCAATTTGTAATGGTTGTATGTGATGGGTTAATGTTATCGCTATTGCCACGAGATGCCTCTACATTCCTCACAATAGATCATAAAGGGCGGGTTCAATCATTACAGGCCTAACATGTATTATGTAAATCAATATTATATTGATGCAGGTTAAAAGTTAAATCGAAAATTCGAAATAGCAAGAATAATAAACACTGCCACTTGCACCTCAATGCACCATCAGAGTAGAGTGAAAGAAAATCTTACGCCATTAACTCGAATGTGCAACAAGGCTTGGTATGGATAGTTTTCAATACCAATGCGAATTTCACATGGAGCTCAAAGAATACACGAGTTTGTAAATTAGCGCATTCTGGTTCGTCTCGGTAGAGGCGAAGGCAGATTTGCGAGCCGTGCATGTACGCAACATCTGAATTTCCAATGCGCCATTTTGGCTGCACGACAGTGCACCACTGTTCCTGCTCAACGGTCGCACCGCCAAGGAGGTTAAAATGCAGCGCAACACAAATCAACACGCGTTTCCCAAGAAGACCGACGAATACCTCTCCCTTCAGTAACAATCGCTCCGCAGCAGGGCTCAACTACAACGGCTGCACACTCGGCCCATTCATTGGTTGCAAATGTCCAACTTTATATACAAATCGGTTCAAACACCACCGCATAGGCATAATTTACAGTCATCCCTTGGACTTGTGACCATGGCAGACAGCCGCAGCTGGTGGAATGCTGAAAAGCTCATTTCTACGCTTCGCTATCACCCGACCAATGTCCCAAGATGCCTCAGAAATTTGCAGCGCAAGCACAGACATCCGTGTCACAAATTCCAGCAGAAAACTTGGCGTGAAAAATCAAGGGATTCTGTGCGAGGCTATTTTTTTGCACTTGGGAGAAACATTTTCTGCCACACTATCATTGCACATGACTCTTGGCATCATTTTGGAATTTGCCTAGTGGCAAATCATAGATTTACGGGTGAAAACACAACAATGTAATTTAATAAACGCGGTCCTCCAGCTGACAGTGCTACACAAATTATTGCAGTAGATGCGAGCTTTTGTCACAAAAGCTCACACACCAGGCACAAATACACACCAAATCATGTGCCAATATGAAAGTGATTGTAAAGAAAATATAGAAAAGCACTCAACTGATTGATGGCCTAGAATTACTCATTGTGATCATCAAGTAATCACCATGTCAGAATCATTATTATTGTGTGGTTACAGAAAGACAGAGTAAACATTTGCGAATACAACTCGCTGGAAAAGATTTGTTGCATTTAAGACCGAGGGGCTCTCTAAGGAGGCTTGGAGGAACATATTTAACACAATAGATTTGTTTCTTTGCACACTGGCCTCCAGGGAAAAATGAGTATGGTTTTGCAGACAATTATAAAAGTGCACTACGCTTCCACTCTGCCTTCAATAACAGTAAACCAGGCAAACCTCAGCACTGCAGATGGTGGTCAGCTAGCCGAAATGGGCCATCACCATCATACTTGACTCCTTGCTTAAGGAATCATAATGAATCATAATTGTCAGTTGAACAGCATTTTGATATTCAAGGCATTTATAGACAGACATGAGACAATATAATCATCGGGTTAGTTTGTCTCGAATGATCATCAGTTTCACTAAAAAATCAGGCAGACAATCTCGTGAGCAGGGGCACTAATTTAAATACCATAATGCCACAATAATGTAATTTATTTTTCAATGGGTTAGTAGTCTCGAATGGTCATCAGTTTCACTAAAAAATCAGGCGGACAATCTAGTGAGCAGGGGCACTAATTTAAATGCCGTAATGCTACAATAATGTCATTTATTTTTCCGAGAGCGTCCCATGGGGACAACATTAATGTTTTACCGGAGGGTCTTGGTGTTCAGTCATTTCCTTTTAAGGAATTATTTTTACGTGTAGGAGGAAACCGGAGTGCTCAGAAAACACACATTTGACAGGACAGCACTCAGAGCTGCACAGTCAGGAACCCATTTGAGGTGCTGTTATAAACCCGCGCATAAACGCCCAAACCTGCCGGGCTGTGATAAGTGAGAACAAACTCAGATAAATCCTGAGAAGTCTCCCAAGGTTACAACCTTCCTATCATCACGTGGAGTTAAAAGTAGCGTGTTGGGTCGCACGCAGTGTGCCACTTACTGATGTGATCGATGGCACCGGCGCAAAATTTGCCGTGGAACTTCTTGGCGCCGAGAGCCTTGAGGTCGTGGATGGTGTAGGGCCACAGATGCAGCACGTTGTTGCGGGAGAAGGCATCTCGCTTCTCAACGACCACCACCTTGGCCCCCAGCAAGGCCAGCTCGATGGCCGAGCGCAGGCCACAAGGCCCAGCGCCGATTATCAGACACTACGGGTAGGGGAGGGTGACAAGGGGCAACAGCACGCGCAGTCATCAATCCACAGGGCATTAAGTATAATGCTTGCTCAGACCTCGGCCTTATGGGATTATATATTACCCATGACGTCAGATTAATAGGCAGTGTCTTTTATTTACCATGCATTACAAATGCACACCACTGGCATCTCGGGCGTGGCCCATTCTACGTTGCCCAATATTGGTCCAATGTCACAAAGCTATCTGGGATGTTAAATGCAGGCTGTGTTTAGATGCGCGCTTTGTGCATTATGGAAACGGTGTGTTTCTACACTTGGTGTGCATAGTCTATCGATGTAAATGCAAGGGGTTGATCACTCCGTTGCACGCAAAAGCATGCACGATTTATTCACAGGGGGTAGCGGAGTGGTTAGCGCACTGCACTTTGAAAACAAGCAAATCGAGTTAGCGTCCCGTGCATGACTAACAATGCCAAGTGGTATCTGACCCAGTAATACTCCCTGACCTCTCCCCCCACAACAACACCCCCCCCTCCCCCTTCTTTATCAAACAGACTATTAACAAACGGCGGGAAAATATTTATTACATGGTGTATTTCATTATACACCTTATATCTCCACGGTTGTGAGAAAAACAAAAATTCAATATTCCTAAAGGGAATTTCTAAAGGGAATTTTGCACAATTTTGTTAGAAGTATGTCCAGGGGTAGAAATATGTTTTTGAATGTGCATGCCAGCTCTTTCCTTGTCAACTTGAGGTCATTTAGAATTAATCATTTCCTTGTGCACACAAACGTTTACACTCGATACCGAAAAGTGAACAACGCAGTACACATGGCTAAGAATGCAGCAAAAGAAGTTCAACATACATACATGGGTTGCTTCATCCACCCGGTTATTGAATTATTTTACCGTCACAATTAAACTCAATAATATTTTTTTCTAACATTGCAATAAACATTTGCGCCTCTAGTGGTTGATTGACTTAGACAAAATATACAAATTGAAAAACATTGACTGCAATTATCACAAGGCTTCTGAAGTCATATATTTATTTTAAAAAATATCTAATTTACTTCGTAAAATTCATGATGGAAAATAAAAAATATATATTAATTATGGAGTGTTAAGTTGCACGTGATATGCAACATTGCAAACTAAAAGGCAGAAGTTATTATCTTGACATTATCGCTGTCAGAGCAAAATAGTACTTATTTATATTAAGATTCAATCCCACACTAAAATCATTCTTTCAACAAAATGCATTCCCCTAATTTGGTTTAATCAGTACACGAACAGCATTACGTACAGCCCCAGACTTAAAAAAAACCCTCCAGTTACCAGTGTCACAGTTATATTCAAAAACAATAAATGACTGCACTGTGCTTTGGTTTTCGATAAATATTATTCATACTTCTTAAGTAAGCATTCAGAAAAATACACATCTGTGTGCTGGTGGATGAGAGAGAGAGAAAAACACACACACACAAGGTCAACAGAAAAGGCGCCTGGTAAAATTGAGGACACGGAGCAGGCTTCCGACTCCAAGCCAGCACGGAAGGTTCCGAGTGTTTTCAGGTGGCCGCAGACCCCCCTAGATGCAGTGAAAGGATTCATTTTCTGCTATTTCCAGGTCACTCATCTCCTCCGTAATACAACTGCTCTCAATATAAAAGCATTTGCCGTGCATCACCTCTTGCGTGTGTACTATTGTCAATCCAATGTCATACGGGTCCGCAGGGGGTAATGCGACCATCCTACGCACTTGCTGGTCAGTGCGGGTTGATAAAAGCGGGGAGGCATAGATGTATAGAAGTACGGTACGACAATTTATTTTGCTGCTCCGATCCTCTGCTGACCACTTCGTAGCAAGCCTGTAGCAAGCCTGCAGCAACCTATCTCGTCTTAGGGAGCATAGTGATAATCCGTCCAAGCAGAATCCAGGGTCAAGCATGCTTAGCCTAAAAAAAAATGTCTTATCTGTGAAATGAAAACACCCAGATGACTGGGGTTTCCCTGTGATCTGATCTAACAGGAGTTGACGGTAATATGGCACGGGTAAGAGCTTCACTGTAAAAGAGAACAAACATGGTGTCTCCATTGAGCACAGCTGCAATCGGGCATAATTTGCAATGCGTAAACATCCAGTGCATTCCTCTAATGACATTCAATTAACTTAATGGAGCTATTCGCCGGGAAAAAAAAACCGCAATTGGCAAAAAAAAAATGCATGCATCTACAGTACCTAAATAGCGTGAACGACGCAAAAGTACCGCTTTCATCTGCAAGCCTCAGCTACTGTAACGGCGAATGAAGGGAAAAAAAAAATCTATGTTTACACCATGTGCTGTTCAATCAAATATGGGCAAAATGTTAGCACCAATCGGCCAACCGGACACCGAAGAGGTGGAAGGGTTTTTTAGGTGTGGGTATTATTATTTTATTTTACACTGCTTTCATATATTTTTTTCTTTTTTCAAGTAAACCTGTATCCATGGGAGGAAAAGGTCAGCAGATGTTGCATGCCGCATGGCGTGCCACGCAAGCCTGGCGCCAACTTGGCCATGGTAGGACGTGACGTCTGTTTTCCAGAGACTATCTCGGCGGTCGGACCGATGGAACCTTGCCAGAGATGGGTTTAACAGGAAACAGCAGCCTCCAATGATACCTGCCAAAGTCCCCCATAAGTTGTGTAAGTAAAATAAATCAGCAATTACCTAATACTTTTAGGAAAATGTAACAATTCACGCAGCGCTGCCGAATAAAATCACGAGTGCGCAAAAAATGAGCACATGTGAAGGCAGCGTTTTTTTAAGCGCCAACTGTTACTTCAGCGCCATTGGTGATTACACCGTATTCTATTGGTGCGTCGTAAAACAGAACCAAATTCAGATTCAGATGTGGAAGGAGTTAGCGGTGTCACAGGTAGGCGGGGAAAGCACTATTTCAACTGTACCATGTAACATCTATCAGTCCAGGCAATCATGTCCACAAACCGTACAGATTATTAGATGTTGCTGAAGCAAATGGATGTGGGGTTTTGCTGGAACATGCACATGCGCACAATGGAATAGAAAATTACATTTCTAATCGAAATTTAATATACAATTTCAAAATGCTGCACAACTAAGAACTTCCCAGGCATCAGCCACCATATTGGGGTTTTGCAAAGTACTGTGGATAGAATAATTACATTACCCTAAAAAATAAATCTGAATTTGGTTGATTCATATCAGGTTACAATTCTGGTAAAAAAAAAACAATCCTTCCAATGGCTGAAAATGATGGTTTCAGTCGAACCATGGTGTTGTTTAATTATGAAAACCATATTGCACACACGGTGACCTCCATTTCAATCACGAAAACCTTTGGCGTTAAAATGTAACTACGGTAAAAAAAATGAATGCAGCATTTATTAAAATATTTAGAAAATAGCAAAATAAAAATTGGGTTTTATGGCTGCTATTAATAAAACAAAAATCTGCACTGCTGTGATTAATAATGTTGTGAGCGTCCCACTGGTGTGGTGATGAGAACACGGATTAAGCCGAACCAACGAGGGAGCAGTGCACCCAGTAGACAAAGGGCTCATCGCAGCATGAGAATTTAAGGTTTGGCAGCCGGTCCTCAATGCCCCACACACACCACCCACACAAAAAAGCAGTGCCTGTAAATACTGCTCAATGAGTAAACGAGACCAGGGCTATGCTTTATTGTCAGCGGTTAGTATTTATACACCGTAACCAGTGGAAAGTAGTCAGCCAGAGCTTAGTCCAATGCTTCACCCGGCTACGCAAGAGGAAAAAAACATTTTTCGATTAGTATTGAGATACGACCGTGCATTAATGAGGAATGCCATCAGCTTACAACTCAGGCGCGTTCCAACTGTAAATGCGTCGGTTCATCAAAATTATCCACTTTTACTCTCTCGAGTTTCACTGCTCAAGCAATACAGTTTTGAACATCGTGACATGGAAAGCATATTGAATGAGCACTTAAAAATTACAGAAAACACATGGGAAGATATATGACGAATATATCAATGTAAAGGTTGCCTGGTGTGGTGGTGAAAGCCGATAGTCGAGCGATTTGTAGTTGGTGTTGGTGAATCATGCTGAGATAGTGTGTAAAAGACACCCATCCCAAAAGAGGCAGTGAGCTGTCTGTATGAGGCAGGAGAGCAAGGAGGTTATAAACCTATTTGCGTGATGTTTGTCCGTGACGTTATCCCTTGGGTACGTGTGGGTTTTCTCCAAGCACTCTCCGTTTTTTGTTTCCCACATTCAAAAACACTCAGTTTAACACGAAGGCTTTCGCGACCAATCTCATCCATAATACAGTTTTTTTTGTTTAGATCGCGTAAATAAAAAGTGTCGTTAAACCCGCCACCACCCGACACAGCCAACTAGTAAGGGTTGTCACGTAAACAGAACGTGCCAATTCATCACTAGTACAGCACACCGGTGTGTTGGAGAGCCAAGCCACAACATTTACAATGAGTACGACGTTTCGCCAGTAATGACAACTAGCATTATCAGGCGGGCAGCCAGGTTCAATAAGCAAATGGCTTGATTTCCCAAAGCAAGATTCTCCTCAAATCTTGACATTGTAATAATTGCACACTGTACATACACTTCCTTTCCCCCTGTAATGCACATTTTTCACCGTTTTGTACAGGAACTGAAGGTGATGTTGCGACGTTATTTGCAGCCATGCAAATCTTTGCATACGCTACTCTTCAATGCTGGCCAGACGTATTATATAAGAGGTGCGAGTACCCACACTTGACCCCACCACACGCAGCCTGCCGATCGACTAGCTGTGGTGTTACCCATTTACACTGCTGGGTGGACAGACGTGGTGGGGGAGAGGGGGGGGATTTAAAAAGATCTGCCCCATTGTTTAACTACTGTGATAGGAGACGCATTATAAATCCAAAGTACGGTATATTGTTTAGACAAAGCTTGTAACAGCCAACGACATAAGCTCACAATACATTTTTTTAAAAATAT